AAAAAAAAAAAAAAAAAAGAACTCTGAAGTTAGAGGGATGTGGCTTTGATTCCTGATTCCGCTATTTACTGTATGTTTTGGGGCAAGACATTTACACCCTTCCAAGCCATAGGTGGGGATAATGTCTTAGGTCTGTATAATGTAGGGAGTGCCACACAGAAGCTGCTTGCTCAGTCTATGCTAGTTCCATTCCCTAGAGGTCAGCATCTATACAATGTGCTACCAATTCTCTACCTGCCCAAGGTTTTTTTATTCTTTGTTTTGATATTTAAAAGTAAACATTCATCACATGTATTTAAATTACAAAAGTCACATGTATACAATGCAGAAATTTTAGAAAATACCAAAAAAATCTTTTTTCTTTGCACATACAGTCTGGGGCAGACCCAGCTATGTCCCCTAACCTCGCTTCTGACTCCAACCAATGGTCTCCTCCCATGGATCCCCACAATCACTTTCGTCATGGCCCATCTGCTGAAATAAACAACAGGGTTACTGTGGTTGAATATGGGATGAGAAATCCAATCCATCCCATTAGCAGCTGGATTTGGTCCAAGAGGCTGCTGAAACACAGCCACTACATTTTCAGAAACTGCTATTAACATGGAGGAGGCTCCCAAGACACCCTGAGAGTACATTATGGCATCCTGTTTTGTTCTCAGAACCTGCTGTGGCAATCGAGAGCAATCCCTAGGGCTGAGGAGAAGAAACAGATGCTCCTGGTAGGCTTTACCTTGCAAGATTCAAAATGTGGATAACCTCCAGTCCTCAGCACCAGGATCTACTTTTGCAAATATAGAGATACTCATTTTCCAGTTTATAAAGTGCTCCCGTTCATTCAACACATACATATTCAAGGATTATTATCTAGTATTATTATGCCAGGTACTGGATTGGAGCCTTCCAAAGGACACAGTGACAAATCCCACCCCACTGCACCACTATACCCCCCACATTCCATCTCAAAGACACAGTCCTTGTCCATGAACAGCTTTCCTATTACTTACAATCCAAAGAAAATGAAGCTCAGAGAAGTGAAGTGATTTGCCCAAAGTCACACAGGTAATGAGTGGGGTAGCCAGGACCAGAACATAGCTCTCCACTCCTTTCCTCAACCCCACAGGGGTATTTACCTATGTCTAGTGGAGGAGAATTCTGCTTCCCTCTGTCTCAGGCTTTCCAGTTGAACCTCCTTCTCTCTGCAGGCTGCCTGGGTCTCCTCCAGCAAACTCTCCAGCTCAGTCACTCTCTCCTGCAGCTCTGTGCTCTTCAACTCAGAATCCTTAAGCTGAAAGACAGGATTCCATGCTTAGGTCAACAGGCCAAGGAAGACTCTGTCTGGGTATCTCAAAAAATTTGCAGTTCAGTTGTGATATGAGTGTGGACATGACTCCTTTGGGATCTTCCTTTCAGGAAGCCACAAGGTAACTGCATGCAGCAGAGGCTGAGAAAGCCCCCCTGCTTGGCCACTCCCTTCTTGCCCCAGGTATGCCCAGACATTGCTGCTACCTGCTGGCTCTGCTTCTGATGGTCTTCCAAGGTGGGCAGGTCAGCCAGGTAGCGTTCCAAAGTCTCAATACGCTGCTGCTTCTCCCGGTTCTGCTCTGATTCCTTCTGACATTTCTTTTTCAAATTATTGATATGTTTATCACGACCCTTGACCTATTGGGAAGAAATGTCGAGAATCTGTGTCCACTGACTCCTCTACAACCCTGAACATGAACTTTTTTTGAAGTGATGTCTTTGCCCTTAGGGCTATAAATGTTTTCCACTACAATGAATGCAGGAAGCTGATAAAATTTTGCCATTTGAGATTAGGGCATAAAATGCAGAGTTAACACACAAGAACTTTCTAATCAAGGGCAAGGAAGGGGGGCTCCTTTGGCAGTTTTCAATAATTGGTAGCTCTACCGCATAATAAGGAATCTGGGACTTCCCTGGTAGGCCAGTGGTTAAGACTCCGTACTTCCACTGCAGGGGGCTTGGGTTCAATCCCTGGATCCCTGGTTGGGAAAATTCCGCATGCTGCACAGTGCAGCCAAAAAAAAATTTGTCTGGTCTTTGTCCAGCTTCCTGGGAGGTAACTTCTAAACTCTTAGAATAACCCAAATAATAGAAAAGGAGTATCTTTGTTTTTCTTAGTGGCCCAGAGCCCACCATAAATGCATTTATGCTAATGAGATGACCCAGAATGCAGACTGGTCACTATAATAAAGACCGATGGAGTTCAGCCCAACTCCCTGTGAAGAGGGGACAAAGACAGGAGATTGAGTTCAATCATGCCTACATAATAAAACCCCAATTAAAAATTCTGGACACCGAAGCTCAGTGGAGCTTCCTGGTTGGTGAACACATGGATGTGCTAGGAGGATGACACGCTCTGATTCCAAGGGAGAAAAGGTATAGAAGCCCTGCTTTGAGGACTTTCCCAGACCTCATCCTATTTGTCTCTTTATTTGACTTGTCCTGATTTGTATTTTTATAATAAAACTGTAATCCGAAGTAATCCTGAGTTCTGAGTTGCTCTGGTGAATTACTGAACCTGAAGGGGTCATGGATACCCCTGGATTTATAGCCAGTTGGTCAGAAGTATATAGGCAGTCTAGGGAACCCAAAACTTGCAGCTGGCATCGGAAGTAACAAATAAGCATAGTCTTTTGGGGGACCATGTCCTTAAACCTGTGGAATCTGATGCTAACTCTAAGTGGTCTGCATCAGAACTGAATTGCAAAAGTAAATATAACTGTATATACAGTAGACATACAGCCGGTCTGGTCTGTTCTGTTGAGGTAGGTAATGCATTCTTCCCTAAGCACCACATAGGATATAAAGCTAAGCAATCATCTGGAAGGGCTAATGAGACTCTAAACTCCTTGAGAGGAGGGGCTGTGTCCATTTTGCTTACTATCATATCCCCAACACACAGCACAATGCTTGGCACTGAGCAGGCAATCAATTAAGATTTGTCGAATGGGGCTTCCCTCGTGGCGCAGTGGTTAAGAATCCGCCTGCCAATGCAGGGGACACAGGTTCAAGCCCTGGTCTGGGAAGATCTCACATGCTATGGAGCAACTAAGCCCATGCGCCACAACTACTGAGCCCGCGTGCCACAACTACTGAAGCCCATGCGCCTAGAGCCCTTGCTCTGCAACAAAAGAAGCCACTGCAATGAGAAGCCCGTGTACCGCAACGAAGAGGAGCCCACCTTTCACCGCAACCAGAGAAAGCCCGCACACAGCAACGAAGACCCAACACAGCCAAAAATTAATAAATTAATTAATTAATTAAAAAGATTTGTTGAATGGAAACTTTTTCTTCACTATTATGGCCTTTTCTTTGGCTCATGAAAAAGGAAGCTGGAGGAAGTGGGAGAAAGCAGAGAAAAGGTAAGGCAGATCTCCTGATGCCAAAGAGGCACAGGCCTAATTTAATCCAAAGATAACACAGTACTAAGAGGGATCCCTGAAAATCAGTCAAAACCTTTACCCCAGGTACAATCTTTAAGCTCCATGTGATTCTCCAGATTCTCACATTTTAATATGCATCAGAATCATCTGGGAAGCTTATTAAAAATGCTGACAACCAACTGTGAATTAAAAAAATGGTAGACTGGCCAGAGATGTTTATCTTTTCTCTCTTCCAAAACATCTCTAAACAACAGGAGAAAAATAAAGTACTGATTTTTAAAAGTCAAAAGAGGAGACAAAAGTATACAAGATATTTCAACATGTTTTCAGAAGATAAAAGTGAATGGGGGGATAAATGACTTGCAGCAAAGGAGTTATAATCTGCAGTAGGAGTTACAGACAACTTGGAAAACAATGTGCCCTTCACAACCCGCAAGAACCCCTGTACTTGAAGCACCAGATACCTGAGGGAGGTATGTATCAGCCATAGACCTGATAAATAGGGGGATTCACTAGAAGTCTATATTCAGGTTAGCTGGATACCATTCTCACCCTAGGTTTCCCCAAAAGGAGACTGGAGATTTATTTTCCGGAGAAAACAACTGAAAGAGAGTCAAGCTCAGGGATACCAGTCACGGCAGAGAGAGAGAGAAAGAGAGAGAGTGTGAAGCACTGTGTTGAAAATAAGTATAAGTAAAAATCTATGTATAGAACTGTGGGATTTTAAACCTAATCTCCTTCTCAGTGTTGAGAACCCAAAGGCTAAAATCATTCCTGTCCCCAGTCTCCCCACCAGGCAGCAGGGTGAAGATTCTTTCCTAGACAGAGTGCGATGAGACATTCAGATACTGATATTTGAGGGTTCCCAAGTGAAAAGGGCAGACTAAGTCTGATCATCCCACAGGGAAGCTCACCAGGCAACTACCATGAACCCAGAGCTTCCATGCAGCTTTAAAATACTACTGATAACGTTGTTTTTGTTTTTTTCTTTTCTGGCTGCAGTGCACGGCATGTGAGATCTTAGTTCCCCAACCAGAGATCGAACCTGTACTCGCTGCAGTGGAAGCGTGGAGTCTTAAGCAGTGGACTGCCAGGGAAGTCCCTAAAATACTACATTCTTAAATATGAGCACTCTTTCATTCAAGGATCACCAAGCCTCTAACATGAAAGACACCAAAATAAAAAGACCTGAAGGAAACAAGAAACAACACTATGAGCAGATGCAGATATCCCAAAAGGTATAATCAATATTATCAGAGAAAAGACATTGCGTTCATGAAACAAAAACAGCAAAAAATGCAATAAAAGAATACTATTCAGGGCTTCCCTGGTGGTGCAGTGGTTGAGAATCCTCCTGCCGACACAGGGGACACAGGTTCGTGCCCCGGTCTGAGAAGATCCCACATGCCACAGAGCGGCTGGGCCCGTGAGCCATGGCCGCTGAGCCTGCGTGCCGCAGCGGGACAGGCCACAACAGTGAGAGGCAGTGAGAGGCCCGCATACCGCAAAAAAAAAAAAAAAAAAAAAAAAAAAGAATACTATTCAGAAATATAGAGGTATATATATCAGGAGAAAGAAAAGAGTTGAGGACAGATAATTCTGTGGAGTGGGGCTGGGCACAGAACCACTAATTTTTACTATAAATATGTTGATATTTGATACCATGTTGGTTATTTAACTTAGATACATGTATTATTTTGATTAAAAGTTTCTTTTTTAACAAGCCTCTAAGTCTATGCTGTACCAATGGCACCAACATCACCTGGGAGCTTATTAGAAATGCAGGATCTCAGGGCCCCCTTCCCTCCCACAACTACCGAATCTGTATCTGTATTTTTATCATGATCCCCAAATGATTCTTAAGTACATTAAAGTTTAAGAAACACTGCTTTAGCTGACTTTGATGCAAGTGGTCCAGAACTAAACATTATTAAACTGGTCCCCCAAGAATGTCTGCATTAGTGCAACCTGTGAACAGAACCAAAAGATTTAGCTCCTTCTATGATAACCAATCTCACCCTAAGGCAATTCTAAGAGCACTGGCAAAAATGTTAAAACTCCCAAAATATCTGCATATATGGGATTCTTCACCTACTTTTTAGGTTGAGTGAGGAGAAACCAGGCTGAATGATGTACCACAGGTACATCTTGCCACAGTACAATCTCGTATGACTGCCCAGGCTGATTTTCCACCCAGGCCAGCTGGTAGCCCATCACAACCTGGGACAGTGAGGGATTATATGGCTTTCCCTCTCTGTGGTAGTTTTGTGTGCAGATGAAGCAGAAAGAAGGGGTTCCATTTCTAACAGACCAATCCTGCATAAGAAGTCAATGTAGGGGGTTTCACCCAATTGGCTCCTCCAGGTTCCAAGAATAGGGGCCAGAAACAGCATAGGGTCTGGCAGGAGAGGGCTGACTGCCAACTCCTTTGTGAATTAGAAAGCTATCAGCTCCTTAGCTCACCCTTTCTTCCTGTTTCTTCCCCTCCTCTGAATGCTTCTGCAATGCCACTTTGAGTGACTCTCTGATGAGCTGGACTTCAACTTCTGAAGCAGAGAGTTTCTTTTCAAGCTCCATCTTTTCTTTGCTCAAGGCTTCTGCCTTCTGTGCAAACTGTGCACGTAAGAAAGTGTTCTCTCGCTGCAATTCCTGCAGAGAGATTCTCAATATATAACAGTTCCTTACCCTGACAGTCCCATACACGTTACTTATACCTAGTATACATTGTGGTCAAATATCACCTTTCTCTAAGAATTTCTTTAAGCAGTGCTTCTCAAAGTGTGGTCCTAGAACTAACAGCTTCAGCATCACCTGGGAATTTGTTAGAAATGCAAATTCTTAAGCCCTACTCCCAGGCCCAGTGAATCAGAAACTCTGGGGATGGGTCTCAATAATCTGTGTTTTAACAAGCCCTCCAGGTGATTCAGATGCATACTCAAATTTCAGAACCACTGGCTTAAAGCAATACTTGATGAGTTGTAGTATAACAAAGGAATACAGGATACTGCATCAGAAGACCTGGGCTCAAGGCCTGGTTCTCCTCCACTCATTCTCTGTATGACTTCAGGCAAATTCTTCCTCCTTCTCAGGCCTCAATTTTCTCATCAGTAAATTAGAGGACCAAACTAGATTTTATCTAACGGCCCTTCTCACACTAACATTCTGATTCTACAAGATGGAACACTATCTTAACAGGCCCACTAGGTGGCAAAGCCAGTACAGTACTATAATCTGTCTAACAGACATCACTCAAAAGCCCAAATTACAGAAGAAGCTTGGCCAACTTCTTTTAGAGCTACTGACCTAAGTGAGAGCATGGTTTCCTTCAGTTGCTCCTAGACATGGAAGAATAAAAGTGGGAATGGCTCTAAATCCTGCATTACCTCTGCTTCCCCCTCCATTTGGCCAGGGCTGGTATATTAAGACTTCTCAAAGCATCACTCAGTTCTAGGGTCTTACTACGTACCTTGCTCTGCCTTCCTTTTCTCCCAAGTATGTCCTGATACCAAGGCACCTGGACTTCCACTTGATCTACCCTCAAGCCTCTTCTGCCCCCACAAGGGCAGAACAGGAGACACTTTATAATTAAGATGTTTACTCTTTGAGGGCAGGGATACCTTATATTACTTGGTTCATTTTCTATCTCCTGGATGCCTAACAGTGCCAAGCACAGGGAAGATACTAGGTTATGACAAGCAGAATGCCATCCTGGCTGCCAAGGCTTACCTGCAGTCTCAGCAAGCAGACATCCCCAAAGGGGGCAGGGCGGCCCAAAAGAGCACTGTGGACTTGTAGTTCGCTCTCTCGCACTTTCTGCTCCAGCTGAGAGATATGTTTCCTCTGCCTGCAAAAGCCAGAATAGAATGAGGTCCAGGGTCCTGACACAAATCCACTTGCAATATGAGCCCCCACTTTCCTTAGGTACAAACCACACTTTGTAAGCAAAGACCTTGGATTCTGGTCAGTGTTGTTTCCTGGAGGAGGAAGAGCAAATGAGAAAACTGACGGGAAATGAAGAAAGATCAGCTGCGAAGAGCCAGCTGCCTCCTTTAGGCACTCCCCACAGCCCCTGCAGAGATATGCAACTGGCCTATCACATTACTCACATACTGGACTAGGCTGCTTACTGACCTAGCTCTACCATGAGGCAAGGCAGGGTCCTAAACCGAGGAGGATGCGCTGCCCTTGGGAAGACCTCCTTAGTGGGGGCTGGGACAGCAGAGCCTAGCCCTATGACACCCCTTGCCCCCTTACTTGTCAATAAGGAGCTCCTTTTCCTTCAGAAGGTTTTCATTACTGTTCAAGATGCTGATCCACTGTGCTGGGTCTAATGTGGGCAATGAAGGAGAAAAAGCAGCAGGATGGTGGCAGATGGCTCCATTCTGAAGCTGAAAGACAAGCAGGCCCAGAGCAGCTTAATCTTGACCTATAGGCACCTGAAAACACCTGAGCTACAGCTGGGTCTGCAGTCAAGGCTTACTTTGGCTCAGTCTGAGAAGGCCCACTGTTTATGAAATAATTTTAGCTCTGATGTATGACTGGAAAGAACCTGCTAGGGAGACTTCTGCCAGCTGGACACTCCCTGCTCAGAAAGGCTCCAGTTTCTAAGAAAAGGTCAGTTGTCTTTCATTATCTGGCAACAGAAGCTAAACAGGAGCTAAGATGTCCTCACCAACCAGGAAAGGAGAATGTGTCCTGCTTCCTTTCTTCCCATTCTTAAGCAGCACAAGGACTTTTTTTTTTTTTTTAAACCCAAAAGTGTTATAGTGGAAAGAACCTGGGATTCAAAGATAGTTTTTGAACCCTAGAACTCTGCCACTCACCAGCTCTGTGACCCTGGACAGATTATTCTAAGAAACTGGTAAATTTCTACATTTACCTCATCAGAGTGCTATAAGGATTAAATAAGATTCTGTATGTTAAAGTACCTAGCCTAGTGACTGGTACATAAATACAAACACACACAGTCAGTGTTGGTGTACTAACTCTGGGTTTCCCTTTATAACCCTCTGCTTTGGAGAAACTATCTGGTGTTTAATTAGACCACCAACAGATTTGATGACATTCACAAGACTTCATTTCCTATCTACAAACATCTTTCCTCCTTTTTACAAATGCTTTCTTTGGAGTCAAAACTTATAGGACAAAACCTATACAGTTCTATGATCAGCACAGAAACTGCAAAATCCAAGGGAAGAAGGGTCTCTACCTGCATTTGTTCCATCTGTAAACGGATCAAATCCAGCTGCTGCTGACAAGTGCTGAGCTCACAAGATCGCTCACGGGGATGCCAAGGGTCAGGATTCAGTTGCCACACCTGAGAAGGTAGAGGCTTGGAGAGCCCAGGAGCAGGCTGGAGTCCCAAAGGAAGAACCCCGCTGCCACTAGGGTGTGGTCCATTCCGCTCACATACCGCCCCACTGCCTGGTGCCTTCTTGGTCTCAGGCAACACTCTGTATAACTCCTTGTTTGTGTCGGTTCTTGGGTTGTGGAACGAGGCTCGGTAGTGGGGATCTGAATAAAGCGTCTCCATCACTGCCGACTGATTGAGGGTAGACTCCATATTGGGAATATCAAACTTCCTTGCCTCTTCTTCTCTTTCATGGCCCACTGCTGGAAACCAGGACTGCTCAACTCCATTCTCTCCAGCAGCACCACAAAGATACATGAAATCTCTAGATAGGCCTGGAGAACGTTTCATTGCACCGAGATCTCCATTTCTTGTCATCCCCACACTTTCAGTCAACCCTGACAAAGGAAGTTTGGAAGAAGAGGGTCCGGCAGGAGAATTTGGCTTGGCAGGAGACGTCCCCAAAGTAGAAGGCATCACATGGGCTGTTGGAATGGTTACGTGGCTTTTGATGGGCTGGAAAGAAGGACTGCTACTTGAGCTGCAAAAATCTGCGGAGAGAACAGTCTTCCGTAAGTCAAAATAGAGGCAGCAAGCTTTCTTGACTTTGGCTGCTATGCCAGACATTCTCTGCTTGTCCTAAGACCATGCAGAAAGGGCACTGTCATCACAAGTATCAGGCAAAAAACACAGCAGCCTAAACAGGAGATCTGTGTTCTAGGATCTCAAATGCCATTCACAAGGCAAACCAACAAAAGGCAACACTGGCTTCACTTTTAACTTATACTCTGTCCTTTGTATTTGAATAAAAAATCCTGCCAGTCAACAAAGCTGAAAATGGAACTTAAAAAAAAAAAATCACTTACTTAAGGGAAATGGATTAGATCCTACTCTTCTAAGAGCTGGGTAACTCTAAGCTATAATCCAATCTAATAAAAATGTCTTTTCCAAGGGCTGCCAGAATCCTCTGTGATCTCCAAAAGCTCCCCTGCGAAGGTGAGCAATGAATCTAAACTATCCGAAAAATAAGGCAAACTGGATAGTGCTGCTTTGTATCTAGGGCAGGGAGCACAGCATCTGAATCAGGATTCTGTTCTCTCTCCCACACACCAGACCTGACTGCCGGGATATGTGAAGTTATTCTTAGTAACTCTCAGGTTTCATTCTAGCACAGTGAGCACTCTCAAGTGGTAAACAGTGAAATCCTCTTTTTTATATTTTGCCTTTTATTTACCCACTTGTTTGTATACAACTGTGATTTTTCACTTTCCTTCAGACTGGACTTATGTTTCCTTTAGCTCCTGCCTAGTCTTGGGAGAAAACTCGCTGATTGGCCCTGCCGTAGAAGGTTCATATTTCCACATATTTCCAACTTTCAAGTGCTACTCTGAAGAGGACTACAAGGTCACAGAATTAACACAGGACAGTGGGCTGCAAGTGAAGAACAATACAGGAATATGAGGAAACACACATGTTACCTTCAGCAGGCAGAAAACTGAGTGAGGGGGACAAGGAATATAAACGTCTTTTTCAACTATGTCTAGTATTCTTTTCCAAACTAAGCATGTCTACCACGGAGAAGAGTAGACCTCCGATTTGTTTCTTTTCATTTTCCATCAACCAACACAGAACACACTCAGCTAATGAGGACAGACACTAACCTTTTCCAGAATTATATGAGTACAGATCAGCTATCATCTTCTCATATGGGTTTGTAAGCAGCTCTTTAAAAACACAGGCAAGGGCTTCCCTGGTGGCGCAGTGGCTGAGAGTCCGCCTGCCGATGTGGGGGACACGGGTTCGTGCCCCGGTCTGGGAGGATCCCACATGCCGCGGAGCGGCTGGGCCTGTGAGCCATGGCCGCTGAGCCTGTGCGTCCGGAGCCTGTGCTCCGCGACGGAAGAGGCCCGCATACCGCAAAAAAAAAAACACAGGCAAGCCAAATTATCCCTTATAATATATGCAGTCTCTAATTTCCTCTACTCAGATGATCGTGGGATATATAAAATGCCATACTAAGAACAAACAAGAAACAAAACAACCAGTAATTTTTGATGACATGCATCAGTTTCTCAGGACCAAGAAAGGACATTTCAGAGTCAAAGGACACAGTTTTTGATGTCCCAAAACTTAAATACAGAACTAGTCAACAGGGTTAAGGTAGACTGGTGGTGATGAAGACTTCTAAGACTGGTAAGGTCTCTATCTGAAATCTTCCATAATGGCACCATAATATCCACTCTCACCAAGGGTCCCCACTCCCAAAATATAATTATGGAACAGAGGACAGTAAGACTGTGGTTATGAGGGCTGCTACTATGCTGAACTCAGCAACACCTCCTTCCATTCTCCATCCACAGCACCACTCTCTCTAAAGACTCACCAAATTGTTTTGAGCCCATAATGCCTAGCAGTAATGGCAAAAACAAAGCCAAGAAGAAAGGTACCAGCTGCCCAAGAGAATATGGTTTTTCTAATTTTCTGGTGAGTGTGGTCCACCTACGGATGATGAAGTGAGGTCTTTGTCAGCATTTGTCACTTATCTACTGGGTTTATCTATTTATATTAAGGAAACTGTAATCCTCAGAAAGTGCTATAAAATGTCAAGTTACATCACACTTGCTAAGTCTGGTTTGTGTTTTAGAGCATTCTGAAACGAAATAGCAACACATTTTCAAAAGGGTCACTATCTTCTACAATTTTCAAAGGCTTTCCAAATTTAGTGTATGGGATATGTGATTTGTATGAGAGTTTACAATTCCCCAAATCACTGGGTTTTGGCCACTTCAAGGATATATTTCTAAATCTCTCCTTTCCTCAAATACACTCCCTGCCCCTCAACCCCCATCCCCCCCAAAAGCAATTTGTTCTTTCTAGCAACCTCCCTTTCTTGGTAAGGGGTAGACTTAGCTATTGCTAAATTTTGATCACTTCTGCCTACATCACTTACTGGTTTATGAAGCATGGCAGTCTGAATTAAGCCAGTGACAATTTCAGTCTTTATCAAAAAACTGAAAGCCTTCTGAGCTCTCCAGTACCCACCTCTACCCTGTCCCTTGAGAATCTTCAAGGTAAAACACCTTAGAGAAGGGTAGAATCAAAAGCCTAAATGGGGAATTCCCTGGTGGTCCAGTGGCTAGGACTTTGCACTTTCACTACCGTGGACTGGGTTCAATCCCTGGTCAGGGAACTAAGATCCCACAAGCTGCACAGTGAAGCCAGAAAAAAAAAAAAAAAAAAGCCTAAATATCCATTGACAAATGAATGGATAAAGAAGATGTGGTACATATACACAATGGATTATTACTCACCCATAAAAAGAATGCAATAATGCCATTTGCAGCAACATGGATGGACCTAGAGATTATAATACTAAGCGAAGTAAGTCAGACAGAGAAAGACAAATATCACGTGATATCACTTATATGTGGAATCTAAAAAAATGTTACAAATGAACTTATTTACGAAACAGAAAACAGACTCACAGACTTAGAAAACAAACTTATGGTTACCAAAAGGGAAAGGTGTGATGGGGGAGGGATAAATTAGGAGTTTGGCATTAACATATACACACTACTATATATAAAATAGATCATTAATGGGCTTCCCTGGTGGCGCAGTGGTTGAGAGTCCACCTGCCGATGCAGGGGACGTGGGTTCGTGTCCCGGTCCAGGAAGATCCCACATGCCACGG